GAGACATCAACACAAGCAATTAACATCATCTGATGGATACACACAGAACTATTGCTGGGTTTTTGATATGCACAGCCTAGTATATAATCATATATTCTTTAACTAGCTGAGTGGGCTGAAATTAATAAATGATAACTGAGTACCAACAAGTAGATCTAACAGCTAACTTTTGAATTCTAATGTTGTTTTTTGTTTTTTGTTTTCTTTTTTTTTTAATAAAATAACCCAGAGCTCTCTGGAGAAATGGCTAATTCTGAAGCAGGAGAAGAGGATATATGAGAGGCACTCACTCAAGATGTCATCAAGAATCATTAGCGCTCCAAAGAAGCGCTATAAAACACTGCTATAGTTTTAATCTGCATTTTCTGCTGACTAAGGGTACCTGAACACCTTCTAAGGTGCTTAATGTCCATTTGCTTTTCTTCTTTTATGAGATTTCTGTTCAGTCCCACAGCCCATGCTTAAATGGGATTGCTTGTTTTCTTGATCTTTAATTTTTTTGAATTTTCTGTATATTCTAAATACTAATCTTCTGTTTGATATGCAGCTGATGAGGTTTTACTTTCCCATTCCATAAGCGGCCTCTTCCACCAACTGATGATTTCCTGTGCTGTGTGGAAGCCTTTTTTAACTTTCCGGGATCGCTTTGGTTGATTATCGGTCTGATTTCCTGAACTTCTGAAGTCTTATTCATAATGTTCTTACCTAGGCCTACAAATTGAAGTGGACTGTACTCCCTGCTTTCTTCCTGTGGCAATTTAAGGACATCAGGTCTTAATCCATCTGGAGTTTTATTCAGAATGGGGGATAAGGAAATGCTGTCTTTTGAACATGACAGCTGTAGTGGGTAGCCATTCCAGCTTTGAAAAGCATAGACCCACGATGGCTCCCAGAACTGGCGGTAAGCATACCGCCGTCGCCATGTTGGGAAGCTGAAGTGGGCGGAGCCAGCAGCCACAGCACCAGCGCCGTTTCAGGCTTAGAAGGCTGCAGTTCAAAGCAATAGGCTCAAGCTAATATAAAAAAATAAGCCACGTAAAGATGGCTACCACACAAAGAATCTGGATTATGTTCTCTTTGATATTCGTAACTAAAGAAAAACATTTGATTACAAAAGCTGTTGAGTTATGCCAAAATGTATATTTTAAAGGTACCTTGACTTCAAAATTTGGATATAAGGATATGTTGCTTTGGAAAGGAGATTCTACTTTTGTTTCCACAGAAAGCCACAGGCTATGGATTTGTTCCAGATTAAGACACATCAGGTTTGACCAGCCAAGACCACCTGAAAGGTCTCCGATGACACCATGGCACAGATGATCCAACATCCAGAACCGTTTCAAGGCAACTGGCTCAGACGATATACCCTCATGGACTACTCCATAACCCTAAAATTTTCTTTGTTTCCCCAGAAGATACAGCGCCCCCCTCCAGCAGGAAGTAGTAAGAGAAGCTACGCCCAAATTCCCAAATATACCAAGCTGACTTTGGAGATGTGTAAAGGTTAAAACCTTCCTTTTTAAGAAAAGAAAAGGGGAGGTGCTGTGGGATGGTCTGTATGTCAAATGTGTTGCTGATTGGTCAATGAATAAATCACTGATTGGTCAGTGGCCAGGCAGGAAGTGTAGGCGGGACAAGGAGGAGAATAGAGCTGGGAAGTGGAAGGCTGAGGAGGGGACACTGCCAGCCGCCATCAGGACAAGGAAGATGTAAAGTACCGGTAAGCCACAAGCCACGTGGCAAAGTATAGATTAATAGAAATGGATTAATTTAAGCTGTAAGAACAGTTAGCAAGAAGCCTGCCACGGCCATACAGTTTGTAACCAATATAAGTGTCTGTGTTTACTTGATCGGGTTTGAGCGGCTTGGGACTGGCGGGTGAGAGAGATTTGTCCTGACTGTGGGCCAGGCAGGAAAACTCAAACAACAGACAGCCAGCCGTTACAATCGTGAACAACCACCACAGTTACTTGTACAAGATAAAGCCAGTCAAAATTCTAGCACAGACTGACAGGGGGAAGTAGACTCGGGGTATCACTTGTAACCAAGAAACGATCTGCAGTTGATCAACACTGGCAAAAGGAAATCATTTTCCTCCAACGGAGTCTCACCGAGTATAACAACCCCACTTCAGGGCAGGCCCTGAAGTATTGCTCACACAGGCACAGCCATATGGAGGATTCCATGCAGACATTGGAAAAGCTGGTCCCCAATATGGGCTCAAGAAGGATGGCAAATCTTTCCTTGGGAGTCCAGGTATGAGATTTTATGGACAAATCATCAGTGCGTACGAAGACAAGCAACTGCAGATTCCTCTTCTTGCATCTTAAAACCCGAGACCTAAGAAAGACCTCCTCCAAGAACAGCTATCTCCTACCCCACTGCTGTACCAGTAACCATGATGAAGTCCAGGTTGCTGCAGGTTAGAAAAGCCCCAAGTCCTGGCTTTAATGTGCAAGTGTCTCTGTGGTTTCACTCCCTCCTTGTTCCTAGTCAAGGGTTGCAGGAGCCAAGCCCTGGGGCTCTGAGCACACACATCACTTAGTCATGAGTTTCTTATTCTTGAGACCTGAGGCAGGCATCAGGTGCTGCTGGACAAGTGTTCTGTCTAGAGTCGTTCCTTTCCATTTCTGAAGTTGTAGTAAACAGTAGTTATATCTCATTACAGAAATCAGGAAGGAATATTTTATGGTACTTCAGAACGTTCTTAAACATTATTTATCTCAGTCAGGTGGGCCTAGGCATGCCCACTGAACCCACTTATATTGTTTCCTAGCTCCCATCTTATCTGGGTCTGATAAGAAAAATTTCACGTTCATATACAACATCACTGTAGATTTCAAATGTGATCATCTCTTTGTATGATATTATAATATACTCACAATATTTCTCCTTTTTAAACTTTTCCATATACTCCTCCTTGCTCTTTTTAAAATTCATGGCCCGTTTTTCATTATTATCATATGCATATAGTATATGTATACTTGTATGTGCATATATATTTTTTATTTATATTTACATATAGCCTGTTCAGTGTGTGTGATGTTACTTATAGACATGTTTTCAGGGATAACCATTTGGTATGGTTAGACAATTGGTGTGCTCTTCCCTAGAGAAGACCAATTTTCCCACTCTTTTTTTTTTTTTTTTTTGTTTTTGTTTTTGTTTTTTTTTGTTTTTTTTTGTTTTTTTTGTTTTTTTTTAATTTATTTTAATTTATTTTGCAATACAATTCAGTTCTACATATCGGTCACGGATTCCCTTGTTCTCCCCCCTCCCGTCCCCCTCACCTTCCCCCCAACGCCCCCCCCCCCCATTCCCATCTCCTCCAGGGCAAAGCCTTCCCCACAGACTGAGGTCAACCTGGTAGACTCAGTCCAGGTAGGTCTAGTCCCCTCCTCCCAGGCCGAGCCAAACAATCCTGCATAGGCCCCAGGTTTCAAACAGCCAACTCATGCAATGAGCACAAGATCTGGTCCCACTGCCTGGATGCCTCCCAAACAGATCAAGCCAATCAACTGTCTCACCCATTCGGGGGGCCTGATCCAGTGTGGACCCCTCAGCCATTGGTTCATAGTTCATGTGTTTCCATTCATTTGGCTATTTGTCCCTGTGCTTTTGTTACCTGTAGTTCTTTGTGTAGGGTTTGAAGCTTTGGGCACTTTCTCTGTCTATCTTGGCGTCTCCATTGGTGTCATCCTTGTTCAGCTCATGTTTGGACAATCACGTTGATGACACTTCATGTGTAAGATAACTAATCTGTAACTGACCTGAATGCCTCCTACCAGTGACTAGATTTTTTTTTTTAATTTTTATTTTGCAATACAATTCAGTTCTACATATCAGCCAGGGATTCCCTTGTTCTCCCCCCTCCCACCCCCCTCACCTTCCCCCCAGCCCGCCCCCCATTCCCACCTTCTCCAGAGCAAAGCCTTCCCCGCAGACTGAGATCAACCTGGTAGACTCAGTCCAGGTAGGTCCAGTCCCCTCCTCCCAGGCCCAGCCAAGCGACCCTGCATAGGCCCCAGGTTTCAAACAGCCGACTCATGCAATGAGTACAGGACCTGGTCCCACTGCCTGGATGCCTCCCAAACAGATCAGGCCAATCAACTGTCTCACCCACTCAGAGGGCCTGATCCAGTTGGTGACCCCTCAGCCATTGGTTCATATTTCATGTGTTTCCGTTCATTTGGCTATTTGTCCCTGTGCTTTATCCAACCTTGGTCTCAACAATTCTCACTCATATAAACCCTCCTCATTCTCGCTAATTGGACTCCCAGAGATCCACCCGGGGCCTAGTCATGGATCTCTGCATCCAGATCTCTCAGTAGTTGGATGAGGTTTCTAGCAACGACAATTAGGGTGTTTGGCCATCCCATCACCAGAGTAGGTCAGTGCAGGCTGTCTCTCGACCATTGCCAGCAGTCTGTTGTGGGGGTATCTTTGTGGATTTCTGTGGGCCTCTCTAGCACTTTGCTTCTTCCTATTCTCATGTGGTCTTCATTTACCATGGTCTCCTATTCCTTGTTCTCCCTCTCTATTGTTGATCCAGCTGGGTTCTCCTGCTCCCCCAAGCTCTCTTTCCCTCGACCCTCGCCCTTCACTACTCCCACTCATGTCCAGGCTGTTCATGTAGATCTCATCCATTTCTCCGTCATTGGGCGATCCCTGTGTCTTTCTTGGGGTCCTGTTTTCCAGGTAGCCTCCCTGGTGATGTGAGTAGCAGTCCAGTTATCCTTGTTCCACATCTAGTATCCTCCTATGAGTGAGTACATACCATGTTTGTCTTTCTGAGTCTGGGTTACCTCACTCAGGATGATTTTTTCTAGATCCATCCATTTGTCTGCAAACCTCATGATGTCATTGTTTTTCTCTGCTGAGTAGTATCCCATTGTGTATATGTACCACATTTTGTTTATCCATTCTTCAGTTGAAGGGCATCTAGGTTGTTTCCATGTTCTGGCTATTACAAACAATGCTGATATGAACATAGCTGAACAATCGCTTCTCCGCCTTTTGGCTAAGATCAAGTGTAGTATCTGTTCTTATCAGTTTAATATCTGATACGTCCTCTATCCGAGGACAACATATTAAATGTATTTTTGGAGTTGGGAGTTGGACTAGGAGCTTGCTCCGTCCACTCCACGCATCGACCTGGTATTGCAGTGACTAGATTTCATAGCACTAGAAAGCTTCCCAAGGATGGAGGTAATCAAAAGTCCTGCCTAGCTACAATGCCTGTGAATCTTTTAAGGGAAGGCTCTTTGGAGCAAGAATGGGGGATTTTCACGAACACACAAAGTCTCTAATATCAATTGTTGATGTTACTGTTTAGGCTAATTGACACGAGCATGTTGGGGAAAAAAATCTGTATCCTCTTGTTTCCTTTAGGTAGACTATTATAATCCTTTTGTTTTCTTAAATCCTTTCAACTTGTTGATGAAGCTGTGGGTTCTTTTGCAAAATAGTGTCATAAAAGCGTAGAAGAAAAAAGACAATCAGTGATTTTTATATAGTCATCAAGATTTTTTAAGATTTTTAAGTAACAATACAACATTAAATAATACTTTTCAATAACATAACAATTACTACAATTTTGAAGTAATGATGAGAACAAACACTTAATAACTATAAAAGCCACCAATTAGAATTAAAGCATTCAAAATTTCTAATGGTAACAAAACAGCAAGTACATCAAAACTGCATTGTTTAATTTTGTCTATATTCATAATTGATAAAAGGAAATGATTTTAGCTATAGTACATGCCCTTTTGTTATGAAACAAAGGCCTCTTACTGAGAAAGCTTATACTCAAATCTCTCCTACCCAGAATAACATTTTTCTCTAGTAGGTAGAACTGCTTCCTACTTTCTCCTTACATGCAGTTTCAGTTTGACTCCCAATGAAATACATTCCTTACCTTCTAAAACCAGAGCAGCAGGTTCCACTGCACGATTTTCTTAAGCCCTCTGCCTTCAAGTCACTCTCCTACTCCTCAGTGGGTCTGTCTCCTTTCCCTAGCCTGGTGTTGGGCTCATGACAGATACTCAATAAGCATTTTCTGTAGGGATGAATGATGGTGTTTCCTATCTGTTCTCCACAGGACAGCCAGCCTCCTAGTTTTAGATGTGATAATTCAAGAAGACTAATGTGGAGTAGGAAGAAAGGAGTAGAAAAATGATCAGGCTACCATCAGCCTCTCGAGGGCGAAATGTCCTTTTAGACCGTCTGTTCTTGGCTGTTTGTTTCAGTCTAAGTCCAAACAGCCAATCATATACTCTAAAATTAGAAACACAGAATCCACATAAATCACTATGGGATTTTCTTTTTTATCTTGCCTTATCCCAAAAGGTTTAAATATAGCAGATCAAGAAATATTTTTAAATTTTAAACCATGCACCCCACATTCTATGAAACCAAAGAGAGAATATACAAAAATATCTGTATGTCAAGGAAGTGGAACTTTGATATCAGTAAAAACAAGAAGAAACTAACATGAATAATAGTAAACAAGGAAAACAGGGCAGTCACGTTATCCCTATGAAGGATTTATATTGAATAAAGATCTCTAAGTCTTGAGTAAAGTAAGTTATATAAAGGTTTTGTATAGAGGAGAATATCATCTAATATATAGCTATCCATCATTACACACCTCTTATATTTATCATCTGTAAAATTGTTACTTAAAATTCACTAAAAAAGCCACATGTAAAATTATAGAAATACAAAATACTAATGGTTTTGGCAGAAGTACATATTTTCTTTTGTCTATTTCTTGTTCCTTTTAGAATCTCCCAAATTCTGCATGTAGATTATTTACCATGTAAAAATGTACTCAGGTTGGAGGTGGTAGTACGTTGATGGGTCACTCCTTTTCCCTATCATTCTGTACTCAGTTGGTGGATCCCAAGAGAGATAATAGAAGTCTTGGTTTTCCATTCTGATTTACACAAGCATTGCTTAAACGGTGCCTTTGGGGGACAGTACCAGCAGAGGGGTGGCTCTGGAGAGGCAAACACGTGATGTCAAAGCAGCTGCTTCACCAAGCAGACCAGACTATAAAGTGTGCCCGAGAGATTATTGATCCCACAGCATGAGAGCTTTCACAGCTCACAGCTTCTAACCCCCTTTTCTCACATCTGCTTCCCTTCTTTGGACACTTCAGTTTCTGAACCTGTTTGCGTAATTTCCCATCTTTCTGTCTATGATTTTCAATGACAAAGAAATAGAATGCACCAGAGATGAAGCTAAGCATACTAAAAACCTGGCCTCACTGGTCATTTTGAAGCCTCTCAGATCTTAGGAATATCATCAATCCTGAGACCATTTCATTTTCATATACACCTGTATTTTCAAGTGAGTTTATGTTGGTAATTTTAAAGGATTAATGAAACTTAAGTCAATGTTGTTTTTCTCATTTAATATTAATTTTGATGTGAAACTATTACTTTTATGCTTGAAATGACATTTTCTTTTGAATTACATTTCTGTGTCTAAAATCTTTCTCCATCACTGACAAATAAGAGATCTGAAACTGAATATAAAATTTACATGTACAACATAAACACTATGGTGTAGATAGATACCTGGGACAAAATATCATAACATACAGTCTACTAGGAGCAAAAAGATGGGTCCCAGTGGGTTGAATAAAATCAACAGTTCCTTGTATAGCCTCGGTTGTTATGTAACAGAGAATTTTTTAATGTAAAATATGGTCTAGACAAGGACAATTAACCAAAAATACTCAAAATGGAGGATACTAAAATATTTGCATTAAAAAAATAATTCTGAACTATCCATGTATAAACTAGTATTAGGTACTACTAAACATAAACATAACTACTAAACCTTTATGTTTAGAAAATCAATAAAGTAACTAATTAATCATTTGATTATTGATAAACAAGTGCAAAGTTCTTGTCCATTAGTAAATGATTATTTTCCTAAATTCCATGATTTATAAATCTTGGGCACTCTACTTTACAGTGATCTCTGATGTACAGAGGCCCCTTAATAAAGCCCAGGAACATTATGAGGCCACACTTAAAATTTGAAGAGCATTCAGGAAGAAATTCTGGGAAATGTTTTATTCCTTTCTCACTATGTCTTTGTAGTACCGAGCCCCATTTCCCATTATAACACTCTCTATTAATAGATTCTCATTTGGACATTTCTTCTTTTCATATCTCACTTTTCTTCACTATGATTCCATCTTCCTGGAACAATCAGCTGAGGGAACTGACCCTGAAACATCTCCAATGCTCCCTTAAAAGGAAATTAAATCAAAGCAAAATTGATAGGTAACCTCTGTCCTTCTAATCCTGTCCTTCAAGGAGACAGCAATAGACTTAGAGGAAATTTCTTGAGGAAAATACTTGCAATCAAGGGGACTGAGAGAAATAGCAGATCTGATACAATGCTAACCCCAATGAGGAAAGAAAAGTGGGTCAGAAAAGCTTAAAATGATGTATATTTATAAGAACATATTTGCAAATCTGGTAGTGATTCCTTAAGCCACAGTTACCAGTCAAAGGAGCTCTGCTGTCTACCAAGCCTGGCCTGACCTGCAACCTGTCCCTCTCAGTCACCGACTAGAAGTTTCCAGGAGGTGTGTAGTCTTGATGTCACTGCAGTGAAGACTTTTGACTAAAGCATCTGGGTCTCCAAGTCAATTACACTCGCTTCGGTTGGAGAGCTGACAGAAAAGATTTTATGTACTACATACATTATCAGGATTAGAAAGCAGCCTACTATGGAGAGGTGGCTCCGCAGTTAAAAACATGCACTGTTCTATCTGAGGATCCAGGTTTGATTCCCAGTGCTCAGATCAGGCAACTCTTAGCCACCCTTATGTAACCCTAGCTCCCGAAGAATCCACAGCCTCTGGTCTCCTTAGTACCTGCACTCACAGGCATACACCCACATACAGACACAATCACACACATCATTTAAAACTAAAATGAAATCATTAATAAAATTTATTTAGTGAAAGAAAGCAACCTGCCAATGAATCACAGGGACTTCTCTTCCTGGAGAGAAGCTTCAAGGAGATTTGACTTCACCATTGCATATTTCAAAGGCCTACCCCAGATCATCATTCTCTCCTACCTTTACTTGCTGTCTCAATTCTCACCACGTTCAGATATTACCTCAGCAGCTCCCAGTGGAATGACTTGAGTTTTCTTTCTGTAAGAGACTAGGCCCTTGGTAAGCATATTTTTCCCAGACCACATTTGTCTTATGAGGTCAGTCTCAGGGAAAATAATACATGAGATCACTTACAGCAAATGGACAGTTTAGTTTCTCAATGTGTTTTTCCCTTCCCCACTACGTAAAACAAGTACCACTCTTCCGCTCTGTCCAAGATAAATTATTTCTGCTTGCAAATTGACCTTTCATCTCACCTGCTTGTACTAAAGTATCTTGGCATTGGCTCGAATTGTTAAATATATCTCCTACCAAGAGTGTGACCCTCTGTGGACCACGACCTCCAACTTAGAGTTCTGAGGTCAACAAGAAGAAAACCCCCAGCTGGTTACTGACACCCAACAAATGGGACTATTTGTGCTTATACCCTTGATTATCAGAGTCAAAGTTCCTTTCTATTGTGGACATTGCATCAGCTAGAGTCTGTAGTGCCTCATCTCAAAGGATGACATTGTATTTTCTTGCCACTAACTGAGTGCCTCAGCAGCACCTTTCAGAGCTGTTCTAACACACTGTGAAGATAATGACCTCTGGATGATAAACAGATGAAACATAAATGGATTCACATTGACGGTTCCATTTCTATATCTCCATCCTTGTGAAGCGGGTTCTCATGTGTATTCTCTTTTGTTGTCCAGAGAATGAATCCCATGGGTTCCACTCCTATAGACAAGACAAGCATCCAATTGTGGTATTAGTTGGGACTCTGCAGGCAGGAGAGTAAGCTCACACCAGAATAGATATTCATTCTTGCGAATACAGGCAACTTAAAATTCAAGTACAAAAAAAAAAATTCAAGTACAGAAGGGCTCAAATGCATTTAAATTGCTTTGGAGTATTCTATGGCTAGTTACCAGAAATGGTGCCAGCTAGGGAGCAGGCTATGACTAGTGCAGGAAGACTGGACTCTCAGCGGCATCCCTACCTGCCGTCAGGACAACTCTATATGTGTGTCATTTGTATCAAACTTAGAAAGGACA